GCTTTTAAAGCGGGGAGAACGGCGCTCGGCTTACCTCTCCGTGAAGTCACTGTCGGAAGATGTCAGGAGTGAGGCGTTACTATTCCTTAAAAACATCACCAATGTATTAGTTTTAGGTATGATTAATAATCCATTGATTAATCCTTGGTGACCGGAATTTTTCTTTAATTGAAGGAGAGCGTCCCCTTAGCACGATGCTACCACTGCCATGTCTCATGGGGGAGAGCATTCAAGATAAAGCCATTATTTTTTATTAAAAAATAAATTGATTCCAAAGTGCAACAGAAAAAAAGCCCTTTGCCTTAAAGCTTTCGGCGAGGAGTTTGCACGATAAGTTTCATTGCAGATGGCTACATTCCAATGAAATTTGCCCTCTGCTTTTAACTATTATACATAAAGTAAAACAATATCAAAAAATGGAGCCCAGGTGGAAGTTCAACTGATGAAACTAATTGCTCTCCAATATCCACCTAAAACACAGCCAATCAGCTTTCAACCACACCCCCAAGCAAACCAATCGAAATCCAAAGTTCATGTTAAAAGGCCTCCAATCCGTGCAGGCTGTGGATACGATGTGTGACTTCATTCAGATGACAGTTTCAACCCACCTCCAGCCCCTCCTCCACCTTCGTAGCTAACGCCTCATCAGAGAGTCATTCCTCCTTACTGCGTTTCCCGTCTCATCCCAACCGGTCTGGCAGAAAACTGCCATGTTGAGCCTGGTTCTGCCAGAGGTTTTTCCTCTCCACTGTCGCTCCATGCTTGCTCATCATGGAAAGGTTATCTCAACCTGTGTTATCCAGCTGGACTTCTATCTTCCAGGTCCCTGAATGAAGCTCTAGCATCAGCTCCTGCATCCACTGGATCTCCCCATAAAGCTCAGAATCCCGTCTCTCTAACCAGCAGTCTACCGACTGACCAACTTCATCCATCTCCACTCCCCCACCAGTTTCAGGCCTGGCGGGAAACAGCCCTATTCTTTGCTCTGTTCATGCATATCTATCAAAATTAAGCTCTATGTTTCCTGCCGAGGTCTGAGCGCCAAAGACAAAGTAATTGTATCAATAAATTTCTCCTAATTGTCTTTTCTCTTCGTGTGAGTTTTTCAGATTAAAACACTGTTGTCTCTTAAGTGCATGGCATCTCCAAAATATAATGGACTTTTTAAGTTTTTATAGCTCTCAGTGACTTAAGAAAATGGTGCATGGAGAGAATTGATAATGTCAAGGTTTACGGTCTGTACTTTCACTCTAGATGGAGGATAAATTAGTTTTGTAAAATTGCTTTGATGAAAGAGATTTTTTTTAAATTTCATCACATCCAATGTCTGTGAGATGCATCTTCATATGTTTTGGGGTTTTATGATTTAGAGCAGGGGTGTCAAACTGGTTCCAGAAAGGGCTGTGTGGCTGCAGATTTTCTTTCCAACCAAGCAATAACACACCAGACTCCAGTCATCTCATCAGGTGAGTCCAATCTGAACATGATGACTTGATGAGATGACTGGAGTCTGGTGCTACTGCCTGGTTGGAAAGAAAACCTGCAGCCACACGGACCTTTCTGGAACCAGTTTGACACCCCTAATTTAGAGCTTCAGCTGTTTTCTACATCAGTGTTACTTGTGTTTCCAGTAGTTCTTTTCCAGATGGCTGTAGTTCCAATTTGAGCAGCACCATCATCTATGTACACGTCTGTCGCATAACGGCGTCTGCAAATATGAAGGCTGTACGGATTTAGCACAGCAGTCTGGATCTTCCTTTGCTACCCTGAATATCCTAAGAATTTAAGATGGGAGCTAAAATTAGTGCAACTTTTTGTCTGTCATCCATAAAGAATCACTTATACCAGGAATCATGGTTTTCATCCTTTTTCATAGAAAATCTACAAGCCAACAAAGGTAGAAATGAAGGCAACTATATAAAAGTATGTCCAACAGAATCAAAATGTGGTGCAAAGGAGGACTATCAATGGGTTTGAACATGGTTTAGTCTATAGGGATAAAGCATGTTTGGAACTGGACCGTAATGACAGAGGATACCTCAAACATGTTAGCCGCATTTGATGGAGTCTGAGGCTTGATGTCATTCTTCATCCCTCTGCCCACTCATGGGGTCTTTAAGTTCTTTGTTATATTTTTAATAGATTTTTCCCACTCTATCCCTATTATGTTTAGAATAAAAAAAAGCTTTTTTTTATCCCATCATCTATGGTAGCTGATGAAGAAAAATCTAATCTGTTGTTTACCTGCAAAAACTTTCTATCATTTGCTCCTCTTTAAACTGAGCTCAGAAGTCAAACAACAATCTCTGAGATTGAGCCGTGGAATAAGTCTTTCTTCCCTCTTATTAAAAGTAAAAAAAAGAAACACATCAATAGAAAGTAAGAAAAGATTGAAACATCGCCAAAAAAATTTTTTAATCTATTCCTCTGTAATACATTGAAATGTGGATCAGGAATGTTTAGCAATGACAATAATAAATGGTTACATCTACCTTCTATTATCAGGATACTGATTCCTTTAAGGTTAAACCTTTTTAACAGGGAACAGTTTGAGGGATTGCATGACTGCTGTTGTTGAAGGATCATGTCTGCACCACAGCGAGAGATGTCCAAGTGTCTCAGCATTGCAGAGCTCCCTGGGAGAAGCCAAACTGAAGTCAGAGGTTATGAAAACGTTCATGTAGAAATCACAAACATTATCCCAAATCATGCCTTTTTTTGACCCCTGAAGCCTGTGCAGAAGCCAGAATCTCTTTCACACAATCACACTACAACTATTAATCTGATGGAACAGGTAATGGTTAGGAAACTTAATCCAGTTGTTTTCTAGAAATCCTTTATGTTTCTAATAAACTGGGACTTTTTGTGTTTCAGTTTCCTCACCGATGTCCTGCAGAAGTTTTCTGTCATTCATTTATTATAATTAACATGTTTTGCAGATGATACTATTAGTTGTTTTGTAACTGTGCTCTTGGATCAAGCCTGACAACAAAAATTTGATATAAGTAATCATGTTGTAAAGTTCCATCCAAATGTATGTATTTAATGAAAAACTAAAGATTTTTTTTTTTTAAATCACACAATACTCTGCATGAGTAGACATTAAGGCTTGAGTCAGGCTTCAGGCATAAACATTAAAGCCTTTTATCTGAACTTTATGTCAATGACCAAAACAATGTAGCGCATAGTTTTATGCTGAATTAAAAAAAAGAAATCTATGTCACTCAAATGTAAAAAAAAAAAAAAAAAAAAACAATCATGTGGAAAGCCTTGTTTGCATTGTGCTGCAGCAGAGGGCCAATAATGACTCTGGAGGAGCTGTAGAGATGAATTGCTCAGGAGAGCCACTAGTACTCCTATTAGTGATGCACTATACTTCTGGCTTTTTTTTTTCTTTGTAAGAGTAGCAAGAAAAAAAAACAGTTAAAAGACAGCCATGAAATGTCTCATGAAACGGTGGTTTTCTGGTCAGAGGAGAGCAAAACCTACATTTCTATGACCAGTATGTTAAAGGCTATGGTGTAGAGAAACTAACACTGCGCATCTTCAAAACTCAATCCCCACAGTAAAACTCGTTGGTGACAGCATCATGCTGTGGGGACATAATTCTTGAACAGGGAAGCTGGTCAGAATTTGTGGGGAAACAGATTGAGTTGAACAGAGACAATATTGTAAAAAAAAAAACCTGTTGGAGGCAAAGAGACTTTAAGACTGAAGGTAAGGTTCACCTTTGAGCGTGATACAACCATAAATACACAGCTAAAGCAACCATGGAGTGGTTAGTCAAAAGCATATAGTCTTATGTTTGAATGGCCTAGTCAAAGTCCAGATTTGGTATCGTTTTCAGGCTATAGATGGAGAGTTTTCTTCAAACTCCTGCACAGCAAAGATTGTATGGAAACACCTTGCAGTTACCTAAAGTTATTCCAATGGGGAAAAAAATACTATTTTCCGAAGATATATGAATATTGTTGTATATGAAGAGGAAACACATGTTCTGCATCCAATCAGAATGAACCTCAGCTATTTAGCAAAAAAAGAACTAGCCGACATTATAAAAAACTAGAGGGAGTTACTAAATTATATGTTTTAGCCACACATAAATGCTCGACTTTGTGTACGTCGTCAACCTTAGAAAATCCGAAAAGTATGGGTTGATTTTTTATTTTTTTTTGCTTTGCTTTTGATTTTATTTTCAGAAATGAGCATAGAGGAAATTAAAACATCACATCAGCTGCATCAAGAAAAAACCCTCCTCCACCTCTAGTGAGGAAGCATAAAATTCCTGGATTTTAGGCATTTAGGGTGTTCATAACCCTGATCTAAAATATTCTCAGGGGGTTTCAAATTTCTCCTAGGTTTTTTGAAACTTACCATTGTTTATTCTATAATTCCCCCTGAGCTGGCTCACAGTTCATTTTCTTCTCTTGACATGATTCCCAGAGCCACCGCACACTCATCAGCCTTTGCCATGTCCTGTTTTCTGCTTCTTTTCTACAGTCAAACAGAGTGAATGCTTTGCAAACAAAGCACATGCATCAAAAGGCTGGGGAAAAGTGGGGGATCAGCAGCAGCAGCATAATACCAGTTATTTAATGAGAGTTAAAGACTCATTTACATTCATACTGATGTAATTTAATGTTACATTAATAGTGTTTGTAAGGATTCCTTTTCTCTAACTTTCCTCTCGCTCCTTCTTTATACAGTAAGCCATATAGTCAGTGTTGCTCTAAATCTTCTTCCCTGTTGTCAGGGTTTAGTTGAGGTTTTGAGGACCCAAATGCAGAAGGAGGGAGGCAGAGGTGACTTCTTTAAGCTTTAATGGAGTGTTCACAACAGGTAACAGAGGCAGGAATCCAAAATCCCAGCACAGAAAATGCAAACAAACCAGAATCATGGAGTCATCAGGGAAAACATGCATGGTGAGCTGGGGAAAGACGAGGAACCAGCACTGAGGAACTGCACAGGGATAGTATTTATGGCTGACTGAACAAAGAGAGACTAACGACCTGATTGGGAGCAGGTGTGAACAGAGGCTTCTAGAAAGGAGCTAGGGGAAAGGAGACAAACACAAGAGGGCAACAAAGAAAAACCTAAGAATGCAAATACACCCAGAAAACACACCAAAGAGGAGTTAAAGCAAGAAAAATAGAAAAAAAGAAAAACATGATTTAATGTGAAACTGAAAAATTAAAGAAGTTTAACAGAACCAAGACACCTTGGTTCTGAAATTATAATGGAAACAGACACATTGAGCTCCTGAATGATTTCTACAACTAAAATGTTCAGCACTGCTGAGTTAACGGCAGAAAATCGACCTCGACCTACAGTCACAGCTGCAACTCCCCAGAAGGAAATTTCTCCATTATTCTTTGCAGTGCAGCTCAAGCTCATTCAAAATGGCGGCATCTCTGAGTATCAATTCTGTATTTGCACCAAGAGTTTCAGTCTTAACTTTGACAAGTCCATTCTTACACATAAATATGCTGCAATGTAACCCAGAACAAGCCTCTGCTAAAAACATCTATTTTAAAAAGGAAGTTGTTTCTTTGTGCCTTTGCAACACGTTTGCTCAATCACTTCCATAACCTTTACCCTAATGGCTCAGTCTGAGATCTCAGTCATTGAATCCTATCTCTCTGTATGATTAGACTTCACTGGTATGAAGAGAATAAAGAAGAGAATTTGTGCTTGCTTAACTAACTGAGTCTAACCCATTCAAGTTTGATTTTCAGGATTTTATCTAATTATTTCGCAACCTCTCAAAGATTTATTCTGACGGATTTTTAGAAAGCAGTCCCACAGGATGAGGCTGCCACCACCATTTTTGTCAAGCGGATAACATGGTCATATTTTGTAAACATAACATGGATTCATATTATTAAAGTCAAATAATAGTAATAATAATAGTTGTAGTACATAAAATAGGACTTTCTGTAGGTTTAAAGTGTGCTGATTAGAGCCGACAGAGTTGAAAAGAACAGCTTTAAGGCAAACTCAAATAGGAATTCTTTTAAACCTTGAAAATTATTTCCAAGACCATGTAAAGAAAATGAGAGAGCACAATAAATACTTTAGGTTTATACAAAATCCTCCAAAATAGATCCCTAATAAAAATATGTGATCTATGCATGTGATAAAGAACCAGTACTGATTACTATAAACATGGGAACAAAAACTAATGAAGTCGTGATAAATCCCTAGAAGCCTGTGGTTGGTGTGTCTGTAACTAATTACATCTGCACAATGATCACAACTGAACTATGGAGGAAAATGAAACACTGCCTATGATCTGTCATGTTTTTATTCCAATCACATCCTCTATCTGCTGAATCGTTATGAGTGAGAAGACAGAGATAGTGAGTGGGTTCATCGGTTCTTTCAGGATGACTTGAAAGTGGTTCGGCTCGTTTGCCCGTGGGGAATCTGGAATAAAATGCTAAGAACAGATGATCAAAGGAGCTGTTCCTCCAGGTCAGAATGAGGTCAGAAATGTTAAGATTTAATATTCTTAAATTAAATCCTGCCCTTAATAAATTATATAGGATAAGAGGTTGAAAAGCCTTAATTAAATTTGGGGTAAAATTTTCACCCAATTATCTGCGTTGAAGGAAAGTCTCAACATTCCTCAAAAAACAGCTTTGTTGATCGGATTGTGATTTGATCGGACATAACTATGAAAAAAACATACATTACTGCCAGTAGAAAGTTAATCCTAGCTTTTTAAAAGCTGTAGGATTTTTTTTTATTTACAAACTATTGGCTTATGCTAAAACTGAACCAATTCATCAAAGGCCTTTTTAACAGATGTCACCTAATGACCAAAGCTAACGTTATTTCTGCTTAGAAAAAAAAGTTTAATATTGTGTTTTAGGGTCAGCATTAGCCCTAATTTGTACAAACCTAACTTCAATTGACCTGAGTCGTGGGATAGTTCAGTCCAAATCTGAACCAATACATGGTTACAATTGGGTTATTTCCAAACCATCGGCTTTCAGAGCATCGATGTGCAACACTGGGGGAGAGAAACCCCAGAATTGTTGCATATCACAGTTTTCAAATGCCAGTAACTTCCTGTTTAATATAAACATGAGAAAATGTAATGAAGTTCTATTGATTTGAATACATTTCAAGGGTTGAATATCAAACCGTCAAAAAGGATTTTTCTAACTTCATGAAAGAGCATGATTTTATCTTCACATAACAGTTGGTGTCCTATGTCCTATGGTGTCCTATACATATACAGCTCTAGATAAAGTCTGATTAAGCTCAGATTTCTCTAAAGTCTGCTGAGTTGAACAGGAATAACCACTGGGATCCCTTTAAATTTGCAGGTGCGATGCAAATTTTCTGTCTTCTTCTGCTTGATGCATTTTTGGGGTGATACTAAAGGTCATGCAGTATTGCTGGGGACTATTTGAGGCAGCAGAGATGGGGCAGCGGTTTGAAGGGAGGCAGTCTAGACTGAGTGCCGAGTCACTGATGGAGGAAAACCTGTGGGAAAGCTCTTGGTTCTCCACGAGGGAAACAATCCGACATTCCCTGGATGGACAGAGAAACAAAGAGTGCAGAACAATTATGGGTTTATTGTCCTCTTATTTAGAGTAGTAATAATATGAAATAACAACATGTCCATGAGAGGTTATGCATTTATAAAAAGGAAAGAACTAAATCAAACCCGTTTTATGAAAAAAATAGAAGATTTATATATTAAATTTTTTACAAGTTTAACTTGAAAATAACTGATTCGAGTTTATCTTACAATGACTTTATATGCTTTGACCTAAACCCCCATTATGCGACTCTGCTTCCAATCAAGAATGCAACACCCAGGATATAAATGTACATGTGGGGAGCACATTGATCCTCTCATTTGTTTCTAAAGAAATGCTTTTTTCAGTAATTCTTCCAGCAACAATAAGCATGTGTCTAGTTAAAGCTGGAACTGTCCATGTTGAGTGTTGCTAGTAGTTAGATAAGATAATTATTTTAGAGGACACGGGTGATTTATTAGCCATTTCATAGTATGCCGTATATCTTTGATGCAAATTTTCAAAAGCAGCTTAGTTCCACGTTATTCATACACCAGGTATATTTGGCTTTACAGCTATCTGTAAATCTGACCACAATGTCTCTTCTGACCATTAAGATTTTGGGGCAGCCCGAGCTGGAGTCCTGAATTTAATCAAATGCTAAATCAAAGGGGAGGTACACATTAGGGTGATGGCAAGGAGGCCTTCCAACCTCAAAGTCTTAGAGCTGATCACCAAAATGTAATCATTATAACAACAATGGAAAGTTGCTCATTACCCATAAGAGGGGTCCAAGCACTGTGATTAAACATCAGGCTGTTGATGAGAGGATATTATCTTCAGACCAGAGCTCACAATTCAATTAGTTATTAATTTGATTAAAACATCTGGATTAAATCAACACTCTGCTTTAAGTCTTATTTATCTGACAGATTTCCTTTTGTTCACGCTAATGATAAATCTTCCTCATGCTCAAGGGTTACCTGTGAAGTACCACAAGGATCAGTGCTAGAACCAATTCTCTTTACTATATACACTATATTGCCAAAAGTATTTGCTCACCCATCCAAATTATTGGAATCAGGTGTTCCAATCACTTCCATGGCCACAGGTGTATAAATTCAAGCACCTAGGCATGCAGACTGTTTTTACAAACATTTGTGAAAGAATGGGTCGCTCTCAGGAGCTCAGTGAATTCCAGCGTGGAACTGTGATAGGATGCCACCTGTGCAACAAATCCAGTCGTGAAATTTCCTCGCTCCTAAATATTCCACAGTCAACTGTCAGCTGTATTATAAGAAAATGGAAGTGTTTGGGAACGACAGCAACTCAGCCACGAAGTGGTAGGCCACGTAAACTGACGGAGCGGGGTCAGCGGATGCTGACGCGCATAGTGCGAAGAGGTCGCCAACTTTCTGCAGAGTCAATCACTACAGACCTCCAAACTTCATGTGGCCTTCAGATTAGCTCAAGAACAGTGCGCAGAGAGCTTCATGGAATGGGTTTCCATGGTCGAGCAGCTGCATCCAAGCCATACATCACCAAGTGCAATGCAAAGCGTCGGATGCGGTGGTGTAAAGCACGCCGCCACTGGACTCTAGAGCAGTGGAGACGCGTTCTCTGGAGTGACGAATCGCGCTTCTCCATCTGGCAATCTGATGGACGGGTCTGGGTTTGGCGGTTGCCAGGAGAACGGTACTTGTCTGACTGCATTGTGCCAAGTGTAAAGTTTGGTGGAGGGGGGATTATGGTGTGGGGTTGTTTTTCAGGAGCTGGGCTTGGCCCTTTAGTTCCAGTGAAAGGAACTCTGAATGCTTCAGCATACCAAGACATTTTGGACAATTCCATGCTCCCAACTTTGTGGGAACAGTTTGGAGCTGGCCCCTTCCTCTTCCAACATGACTGTGCACCAGTGCACAAAGCAAGGTCCATAAAGACATGGATGACAGAGTCTGGTGTGGATGAACTTGACTGGCCTGCACAGAGTCCTGACCTCAACCCGATAGAACACCTTTGGGATGAATTAGAGCGGAGACTGAGAGCCAGGCCTTCTCGTCCAACATCAGTGTGCGACCTCACAAATGCGCTTCTGGAAGAATGGTCAAAAATTCCCATAAACACACTCCTAAACCTTGTGGACAGCCTTCCCAGAAGAGTTGAAGCTGTTCTAGCTGCAAAGGGTGGACCGACGTCATATTGAACCCTGGATTAGGAACGGGATGTCACTTAAGCTCATATGTGAGTCAAGGCAGGTGAGCAAATACTTTTGGCAATATAGTGTATATATATATATATATATATATATATATATATATATATATATATATATATATATATATATATATATATATATATATATATATATATGCTCCCAATTGGTTAACTTATTAGACAGCATTGGATTTATTTCCACATAAAAACCTGGATGACTCATTACTTTATGCTTTTCAGTGCAGACAAAACTGAAGTTATAGTCAGCTACTTCATTTGGATGGGATTAAATTGATCTTACATAAAGAAGTAAAAAAAAAAATTGCTGTTCTAGAATTTCCTTCTTTCATCTCTTGAATATTTCAAAAAATATAAATATCCTGTGCATGGGTTAAGCTAAGAAACTAGTCCAAGCATTTGTTACTTCAAGGCTGGATAATTCTTTACTATCAGGAAGTCCACAAACTTTAGTCAAAAGATTTCAGCTGATCCAAAATGCTGCAGCTAGAGTTCTGATGAAAATTAAAAAGGGAGCTCATATCATATCATCAGACCCCCTGTCTACTTTTAAGGGTAGGCTTAAAACTTTCCTTTTTGATAAAGCTTATAGTTAGAGGGGCTCAGGTTATCCTCAGCTATCTCCATAGTTATGCTGCTATAGAATAAAGTGCCTTGAGATGACATGAGTTGTAAATTGGTGCTGTTTAAATAAACCAAATTGAATTGAATATATGCAAGAAAACCTGCTGTCAACTATTTGGTTTGCTCAGTTAAACTACAGAAACACAAAATTTTTCATGAGGCTTTAAACTATGACAGCTTTTGTCAGGCTATCATGTGGAGACAATGATCAGAAACAGATCAAGGCAAATCCGGTAATGGAGAAACGTAATGGTTGTATTTTTTTTTTGGTGTGTGAATCAATTGCATACTAACGGGAGGAAGTTGCTGAGCTGTGTGGTTCCTGGCGTCCATCAGCAGAGGAGCTGAAGGGCAGGAGGAGGTCCTGCCAGGAGCAGCTGTCGTCAGGTCGGTACTCCTCTATAAAAGAAAAAAAAGTTACAAAAGGATAAATATAATCATTTGAAAATATAAAAAAAAGAAAAATACAGATTTCAGAGTTCATAAGTCATAAAGTCATTTAATCTTCTTTAAGTGGAATACATAAGTGAGTTTCAACATGATTTGAAGATTAATAATGTCATTGAAGCCACAAAGACTTGATTATTATACCTTTCCAACTGACTGTTGCAGTGAAATTGCAGATACAGATAACACTAAATTTTACACCAAAAATGTCTGCTTGTTTGTGTCCTTAATTAAAAACAAACAGCAACAGATCTTCGTTATGAAGGGGTTCCCTGAGGGACTCCATGATTTTAGATAACTTCTTGCAGCTGAGCTGGAAAACTAAAATATTACTATGCTTACGTAAAAAACTAGTTATCTTTTGGTATGAAGCAGCTGCAAAAACATCATCAAATAAAAAAATCATTATACAAAACATTTACAAATGTATAAGATCTGATTTGTGGGAGAGAAGATTCATCTACCACACATTGAAATCTTTCAAAAGATTGATTAGTTGTTGTAGATTTGTTTTTTATTGTTTCAACTGAACTGAAATATCCCCATATGAGGATAACAACACAGAAAATGTCTTACCAAGGACTTGATGTTTCCGAGCACGGCAGCAGTCAGGATCCCCGTGAAAAACGCCATGAGGTTCAGGCCGGTGAGGGTCCAGATCAAAATGTACAGCGTGAAAACTTCCTCACAGCTTTGTACTCCAACAAACTCAAAGTAATTATTCATATAGTCTCCACTGGAAAACAAAGCAAACCTCATCTGTTATTCAAAGTTATGTAAAGTACACAATACATATTTGTTAGATATGATGAGTCAGCATCTCACTTGGCGCAGTCGTACAGGTCACAGCAGTAACAGGTTCCGCTTTGAACAGTCATGGTACAAGAGTCCCTCAGAGTCCAACATGGCACCTGAAAATAACTTTCATTCGGTTCAGAGTTTCCCAACTTAACCAGAATGAGGTAATCTTCTCTTTGTAGCTTAAACTCACTGCAATGTAGGAGTTCTCATAGATATAACCGCTGCTGTAATACTGACACCTCCCTGCTTTAAGAGGACGCATGTCCTGAAAAAAACATTTCAGCAAATCAATGATCACCAAAAACACAATTATTCTCATTTCACCATAATAATAATTGTCAGTAACATATTGACATGCATACTGGGCTCTTTCAGAGTACTTCTAAAACTCTGGGTAGGGTGTCAGTTTGTTAGGTCTCCCCAAACTAGTCCTTGCAGCAAACTCCTCTTCTTACTTTCTCCTCCTCGTTTGTAAGTTGGCTTATCAATCATTGCTTTAGTAACCTATATGCATTAATGGCTGCAGTTTAGTGATCCATGCATAGTCCTCAGTCTTTGGCTGTGCTCTCAGCTTTGAATTATGTCAACCTCTAACACGGAAATAAACAAAAGTTTCAAAATAAAAGAAGCCCAGACACAAACAGAAAAATATAGGTTTCAAATCACTTATATATGTGTTGATAAATTTAAGAAAAATCCTGAATGCAATAAAACTATGATTTTCCTATTAGTTTCCTTCATTGTTAATTGAGCAGATTTACACCAACAATGTACTAATGTTAATATCTTTATATCAGATATGTGGTGCTGTTAGTGTGTACCAACAGGTTATTAAGGTTATCAAAATAGAAGAACATTTTACTATTAATACACAGATAACATTTGGTCCCTCTCTAAAATTAGTAAAAATAAATTTTCTGTTGTTTTAAGGGTAAAATGTCCTAATACACTGTTAGGTTTAGATAAACTAAAAGCTGTACCTTGAAGCCAGCTCTTTTCTGGAACTTTTATTAGATAGTAGACAGACAGGAAATAGGGTTTGTAGAGTGGAGGAAGACGAGCCATAAACGGGCTTGAACTCCATCCTGTGCCGCCTACTGTACATTACTGACTGACACCTCCATGCATGGATCGCATGCAATCTAGATCAATTACTCTGAAAGTTTGATCCCACTCTTACTCAGAATATCAGTCTCTCAACTCGGAGTTGAGCAAACAAAATAAAAAGATTTTTTTTTTGCTTTTAAGTGTTAAAAAAAATTATTTCATCCATTTTCCCAGTGTACCAGATGAGGAGAACAAAAGATAAACATGTCATGTTGGGATTTTATTGATGTAACAAAACAAGAACCTTTCTCTTTAACACAATTTTGTTTTAATATTGTTTTCTTGTCTTAATTCGTCATTAAACATAAATGAAGTGATTGTGTTCAAAGAAGATGCTCTTTAACCTACCATGTTTAAGAGGATACAAACACCATCAATCATCAGGCATAAAAAGGAGGCGATGATCCCAAAGCTCAGGAATACAATGGCGGCTGTAAGCTAAAAAGAGAACAAAGGAAAGGAAGAGAGCTGTTTGTTAACAAGCCAAGGTTTACATTTTTCTATTGTGGTTATAATTTAGATTTAGCTCTGTGGTTTTAGTGAATTTTCTTGTTGTGTGTTTTCTTTTAGTCCTTGCTTTATCTTATTTTAATGTTAGCTCTTTAACCGTACCATCTGCCTGCGGTTCTCTTCTAGGAGGAGTCCTAAAAGTCCAAGGAACGAGCCAACAGTCAGCTGCAGAGGATAATATCAGAGAATCAAAATACAAAACTGAAAACTCCATCATCCATAAAACTCAGGGTAGAATAATACACTGAATGCAAACGGCAGCAGCAGAACTGTGGATTTTAAGTTTCATGACTTTCTTATGATAAAAGCTGGGTCTAAGTTACACACCTGCAGGAGTTAGAGTGGCTACACAGTGCAGAAACACACTTCTTTAAAGCTACTTACAATAACTCCAGAGAGATAACCAGCCACCTCCAGGCTTTCTGTACGGGTGGTCGTGTAGGTTCCCAGCACCACCAGCAGCAGGGACAGACTGAGCATGCTCAGAACCAGCCACAGGGCTCTCCTCAGCCTCAGCATCATCTCTGCCAGCCACAGAAGAGACAAGAAACTTTGATGAAGACACCAGGATGAATGAGACATGTCTTTAGATGCCAGGTTCTTCTCTGTGAAGCTTTCAATACTATACAATACTGTAGATCTATAGTAATAACATCACTCAGTTTAGTTACATGAATTTTATGAAAGATATGATCATCACTGCCTGTTTAGACTCCTTTATATCCAGAATACAAAGATAAATTGTAACATCAGTCTTATGCTTTCTTTGTGGTCTTAATGCACGTTGTAAAAACATATAAAAAGTTAATTATCTCCTCTTATTTAAAATTAGTTTTTGTTTAACAAATAAAATCTGTAGAATTAACATCTAAGTCTAAGATTACTTCACCCTTTAAGCAAATTGTCATGAAGGACCCAAAATGAACCTCCCACAAACAGGACAATGTGGGATATGTGTTAATATTACTAACTAACTAACTTGGTTATAAAGTTCACCTGGTGTTGTCTGACTGTAGATTTGTCCTTGACTTGAATTGATCCTCTAACTCAGTGATTCCCAATTCGTCCATCAATGCATTGCTGGGATATGTGGAAATATTTAATATTTTACTTCCCAGATAAAGAAATACAGTAAATAGGGGCGGGACTGTTTTTCTCTATAAGGACCCAAATGCAAAATGAAGATTTTATCAACCTAAGAGATAAAAAGAAAATGTCCTAAACAATATGTATATGAAAGCCTAGAGTGGGTATCGGTGCTGGGCACCTGCACTTCTACAGTGAGAGCGGGAAGACGGCCAAAAACAAAGGTCACAGGGAAAGAAACGAACCAAAGCAGCTGCAGTTCAGGATAAATGGCTTAAACATCCCATTGCTGGGGATTCAGGAGGTCAGGTGTTTCATTAACACAGTGAATGATTAAAACAAAATAAAAATGTCATAGTGAAACTGATTTTGATTTTGTTATTTTTTTCCTGATTTGTCAAGTTTAGATGTGCGCGTTCAGAAGACCTCCAATTTGTAGGTTTGTAACATCATTTGACTTTGTACTTGTTTCAGTACTTATTCACTTTCTGGGCATATATTTATGTTATTTTTCATTCTAATTAATGAAATGTCTGAGCATTAAATAATTTTAATAGTACTAAATTTCATTTTATAATCAGTTGTACTTCTATTTTTGGACCAAGTACTCATAGTATGATGAAATGACCAAGTGGGTACACAAGTCAAAAAAGGCTTGGAACAATTCATTAAAAAAATCAACAACATTTCTTTAAGCCCTGCTGCCTGAGGCTTAAGCCCAGGTTCTACTGAAGCTTAACTGGACCTCAGTTTAGCTTCTGTCTGTCATGAAACGAGGACAGATGGACCCAGTATTCAGGAGAGACAGTCAGTAGGAAAGTTCAAACGTTTATTAAATAAAACAAAAAATAAAAGGGAACTGTGGGTGGCGGACACTGCAGGCGGGGGGGCGGGGCACCGCCCAATCTCAGACACTCTGGGGGAGAAACACAGGTAAGTGACCACGACCAACTGATAGAAGATTATCTGTGTCTGTCACTTACCTGGTTTAACACTCCAGACCACGAGTGTCCCCAGTGCTGCAGTCCCAGAGGACATGCTGGAAGCCGATCCTGGTGAGGGATCCAGAACAGACAGGAACAGACGGAACAGGCAGAATCCAAATCAGGCAGGAACAGAAACAGGTGGCAGGATCCAGACTTCCAGGCATCCACAGGCTTCCAGGAGGGTTCAGAGTCTGACTGGGACCAGAAACATGACCAGGTGGTCACGCACAGGAGCAGACAGGATCAGGTGCAGACAGGCAGGCACAGTGGAAGAGGGTAGCCGAGACAGGACGTAGGAACCGGAACTTGAAGCAGGACTTTAAACTGGTCTCCTCCCTGGAGCCAGGCTTACTTGGATAAAAACTGAACCTCCCCCCATAATGAGCCAAAAACCCAGAGGACTCCATGTGGGAGGAACAGTGGACGATCAGGAGACGAGACAAACACTAAAACCCTCTTTCCATTGGCTGCCAGGATCCAGGACATGAACCATGACAAAAAACTAAACAGACAGACTAACAGAAAGACAAGTAATGATCTGGCACTGAATGCTCAGGCTGAACTGAATATAAACCAGAGGAAAGAGGTGAGGGGAATAAATTATAATTGAGGCAGGGAAGGAAGAGGGCAGGTGAGAGGAATTACTAATTAAGGGAGAGCAAACAGGCCAGATCATGACACTGTCACAGCTGGATCCTGTGCGTTTTAAATATTTACTAGTAGCTTCTCTAAAGGATCGTCAGTGTTCAGAGATGTTGACTCTGCCCTGGATATCGCTCCTCCAGCGTTCTCAATAAAGGGTATGGGGAGTTTGTGATAAATAATTGTTTGGTTTCTTATAAACCGGATGCTGTTCTTGTTGTTATCAGATGTTATCTTGACTGTAAATCTGTTTTTTAAAAGGTCACACTGCTATATTCTAGTAAGAGGGAAACCGCTTTCTTGTAAAATGATTTATTACATGCTGTATTTGTTTAGCATTCATCAAAAGAATTGTATGAAGTTGGTCAAAGATGGCATTCTCTACAGACACTCCATAGCCCTTATCTAAATCTACATGATCTCTACAAGCCACATCTGGAAGGATCTCAGAGATTTTATAGCAGGGAAACAGCTGATAACATCACAAATAGTTGAAACACAGATTTTAAGATAATTACATCAAAACTTTAAGCCTTTGGAAGAAATCAACTCCCTGATTCTCTCAGGAAAAAAAATAATGGGAAACAATTTTTGGTTGTTCTAGAGTTCAGTAAATCTGGATGATGTCATTTCAGGGAAGCAATCAATCAGCTCCCCATATTTTAACAATTAGTTTCTAATAAGGTTGGATAAACTGCTTGGAGCTGCAACAAATTATAGAGAAACGTGCCTTTCATAAAGGAGAATCCTTCCAAACACGTGAAGACTGAAATCTGGTGCATCTCTGCCAAATTTAAACTTATTTTGTTTTACTACAATGACACCTTTCTGCTGGTAGGAAAACCAATGATCAAAGATCCTAACTATTTAAATAAATCTGAATTTGTGTTGTCGGGTTGTGTGGAGATTTAATAAGGAGTCGTGGCACCTGAAACATAAATCCAAGATAACTGATCGAGGAACACAGGAACCAGAACAAAGGGGAACATGTGGTTTGAGGAGGGAATGAAGAGAATATATCCAACAGTAACTGCAGAGGAGTATAAAGGCCAAATAGAACAAAGACTAGGGTAATCAACTAATTGGGAGCAGGTGTGAACAGAGGGATCTAGAAAGGAGCTAGGAGAAAGGAGACCGACACAACGGGGCAACAGAGAGTAAACAAGAAATACATAAGAATGCAAATACAACCAGAAAACAACAAGAATGTCACAAAATGGAAATGAAACTAATTAGCTAGAAAACACAGAATAAATGAATCAAAGTGTAACTGAAAAAAAAAACAGAACCAAAAAGTGCAAAATTATGACAACTGTGTTGTTATAAATATGAAAACATGAGCTTGCATTACTTCACAAAAGTTTCACAAGATAGAGTTTTATGAAACTTGATTTTATGAGGGTGAGTAACAACTTCTGGGAAAATAGTCCAACACATGATGTCCAAATCTTTTCCAAAAAAAAAAAAAAAAAAAAATATATATATATATATATATATATATATATATATATATATATATATATATATAAGCAAAATAAAAGTGTCAAAAAAAAAATTGTTGCAAAGAAATAAGAGAGTTTAAGATGTTTTGTATCTTGTCAAAAAACATGTTAGGCATGCAATCACATCTGCTGTCAAATTTAACTTAATAAGAAATAATAAGATTTTTCTGATATATGTTAAAATAAGTAATAAAAAAGAAGAAAATACCATAAAAACGTAAGCATAAGTAAAAATTTATTTCAAACAATAATAGTAATCCTTTTAACCAATTGTACTGTATTATAGCTGAGATTATTTTAAGCTGAGTGAGACTGTGTGACTGATGAATGAGTCTGAGCTGACCTTGAAACAAACTCCTGATTATGAAGCACTTTGTGAACAGCCATTATAATTTAGTGCTTTATTTTGAAAAATATAAACAAACTTTGGAATAGTAAAAATAAATACATAATATAAGGAAAATAACTGTTTCTTTCTTTTCTAATGTAATAGCTTTCAGAACGGTTAATTTAATAGTCTATGACTATTTCTTTTGACTATTTCTTACTCACCCCTCAGGCTGTTAGGTCAGTAAGATTTTAGTGTTAAAGGTTGTATAATAGAACAGTTAAAACTATTTCTTCTATGTATCCATTTCTTTCTTGACTTCTGTTAAATTACCTGTTGCTTGAATTATTTTGCTTTCCTCTGCAGATCTCTGAGCTCTTGAAATCAGGGTATTGCTGCCTTATAACCAGTCCAGAGTGTTTTTCCTGAGAAGCCTCCTCGTTCCGATCTGCTAGCCGAAGCTTTGGTGAGAACCTTTAAACGCCCTCTGTGCCCTAAGATACAGAAGAAACATGAAAGCTGTTGTTGCTCCAGCTGTGATCTGCGTGCAGAGAGCTTTGGCCTCTGGTGCATTCAGGGGTTAAAAGAAACTTAAGACTTTAATTTTCTTTTCTTTTCTCTGTCTGTCAACATATTCCAGGTGGAAAGCTTAAAAATATCATTACAAGGCTATATTGAATGCAGCATCCTGAAGAATGTTATGCTCAGAATATTTACAACTATTTTTATGGCTGAAACAATTAATTGTAATAACCATTACTAACTGATTGTTGAAATAATTAACTGATATAATGATTAAATAACCAATCTAACTGGGTTATCAAGTCACTAAAACATGCCATCTTCTGAAAGAACAACCCATTTAAATTAGTAACATTTTTTGGATTTTAGACAACTTTGCATTTGCTTTCACTAGTTCATGGGTTATATTTTATTTGGATAACATTATTCTTTTTAAAGTGCACAAATAAATAATTTCATTATCCAGAATTTAACATAGATTTTCACTACAGAGGTAGCTGGACCTGTGCTGATATAGAAGATGTATGAAGATTGAGCTTTGGCGTATACCTTGTGCCCATTTTTTTAACTGAAGATGGATCCTTTTCTACAGATGTTAAAGTCTACAAAACACTGAATGAGATTTAGGAAATAAAATAGTAACTTTCTATTTAAAAAGGGATTAAATTAATTGCTTTCATGCATTCTTTATGTATTTTTAGAACTCATAAGATACGCTTTAATAGTTAAAAAATAAATTCATAGCACACCAATTTTTATTTCCAATTAATTGATTAATTTTAAAAATATTCAATGGAATACTTGATTTGCAAAAGTAATAGTTAGATGCAACCCTATTTCATTTTATGTATTTTGTATTTATTATTTACACACTCCTTCAAAGCTGGAGAAAGGCTAAAATAAGAGGTTTTATGTTGGAGCAAAACATTTTTTTGGCACTAATCAGTTTCCTGGAATAACACATGCTCCGGTTCAGACTGTTTTGATTGGTATCTTCTGTCACAAAGTTGTTACTTGACCCTCTTGTTTTTGTTGTGCTGCCACTGTTTAGTACGCTCTAACATGGTGAGACCATGAACATTGTTTTAGAATATAATATGAAATTATATTTTGTTCTTTTTTTATTCAGTACAACCACAGACAATGAAAATTGTTTTATTCCAGCAGTGTGAGCAGGGGGCACACACACATCTATCTATCTATCTATCTATCTATCTATCTATCTATCTATCTATCTATCTATCTATCTATCTATCTATCTATCTATCTATCTATCTATCTATCTATCTATCTATCTATCTATCTATCTATCTATCTATCTATCTATCTATCTATCTATCTATCTATCTATCTATCTATCTATCTATCTATCTATCTATATGTGTGTGTGTGTGTGTGTGTGTGTGTCATTCATTTTTTTAAGCAAGTTACAATGAACTAAATATTTGACCAATAGCGCCCTCTTCTGTCATCTCGCAGGTAGGACGCTGGCTAACCATGTTACCATTAGGATGTGATCCTTCCATTTTTTTTTTTTTTTAGAAAAATGACGGGGAAAAAGAACAATGTCAATATTCCATCCTTAGTCAGAGGACAGGAGGTATTGGTTTCAAATAAAGATAAGGCAGAGTTATTAGGAGAGACATTTGCGGCAGTTCATAGTGGTGATCACTTGACAAATACCCACAGAAGGCAGATGATTCAAAAACTTGGAAATCATAAAAACTCACTAGAAAAATGTCAAAAATATATGTCAACATTGGATATGAATATAACCATGAAAGAAATAAAAACAGTATTGAAAGGGACAGGATATTCAGCTCCAGGGGAAGACCAGTTATGTTACGCTATGTTTCGACAGATTCCGGAAGTAACACTGAAATTAATATTAGAATTATTTAATAAAATATGGAAAGAAGGAACAATACCAAATAGTTGGAAAAGGGCAATAATTTTACCATTTAATAAGCCAGGTAAAGATCCTTCCTATCCAAATAATTACAGACCAATTGCTCTTACTTCCCATTTAAGTAAATGGATGGAGAAAATAATGGTTAATAGATTAGGATACTATCTTGAGAAGAATAATCTAATAAATGGATATCAATGTGGATTCAGAACTGGAAGATCAACAATAGATGCTCTAACTAGAGTCAGTAATGACATAGAGAAAGCTTTAAAAATGAAGGAAATAATGATTATAGTATTTTTTGACATAGAAAAAGCATATGACTCACTATGGAAAGAAGGATTACTTATAAAAATGAAACAGATGGGAATAGGTGGGAGAATGTATAATTGGATAGCAAATTTTCGACTAAATAGAAAAATAAGAGTAAAAATTGGGAATGACTATTCAAATGAATATAATGTTGAAAATGGAATACCACAAGGTAGTGTAATTAGTCCAATTTTATTTAATATTATGATCAATGATATTTTCTATGAAACTGATAAATGTATAAAATCTGCACTATATGCAGATGATGGGGCCATATGGATGAAAGGGAAAAATATTAAACATGTTGTAGAAAATATTAAAAAAGCAATTAGTAAAGTTGAAAAATGGTCTTATGAATGGGGTTTCAAATTATCAGCAACCAAATCTTGCTATATGATTGTCACAAAGAAGAGAAATATTAATATAGAAACAATAACATTATATGGACATACTTTAGAAAGAGTAACAGAATATAAATATCTAGGTTTATGGTTGGACAGTTCTTACTCATGGAAAACACATATAGATAACTTAGAAACCAAATGTAAAAAAGTTATTAATATATTAAAGGCTGTGGCTGGAAACAATTGGGGGGCAGATAGACAGTCATTATTAAGCATATACAGGGCTCTAATGAGAGCAATAATAGATTATGGCAGCATTATATATGGAGCAGCAGCTAAAACATCATTACAAAAAATAGAAAGATTACAGTGTAGGGCTTTACGAATATGTACAGGAGCAATAAAAACAACACCTATTAATGTTCTATTAATTGAAAGTGGGGAAACTCCACTTGAAATGAGGAGAATTAAATTAGCTTTAGCATATTGGATGAAAATTAAAAGTAATATAGATAATCATGTGAATTCAACTATTCTGCAAAATTGTTGGGAATATGTGAAGTTCCAAAGTAATGGATTTGGATGGATGGTTAGGAAATGGATTAAAAAGTATAGACTAGAAGACAAGGAAATAGCTCAATTTAACCCAATTAGCGTTATTCCTCCATGGCTAATACCTGAGGTTAATGTAGATTTGCAAATCAATACAATGAAAAATGATTGGAATATAAATGAAATAGGGATAAAAACTGATATTTATTTAAGAACTACATATAATAATTACCTTAAAATTTATACAGATGGTTCTAAAAATCTAAAAGGTTATGTGGGTATAGGAATATATATCCCAGAGTTTAAAAAATGTATTCACAAAAGAATATCAGATCAATTGTCGGTATTTACAGCAGAAATGGTGGCAGTTATATTAGGCTTGCAATGGGTGGAGGAGATTCGACCAATCAGGGTGGTGGTGTGCACAGACTCTAAAGCAGTAGTGGAAAGTATTAAGGGAGAAGGAAATAATAGAAAAGATTTGGTATTAGAAATTCATCATATTTTATTTAGACTATATAGGGGTGGCATTGATGTTTGGTTTTGTTGGGTGCCGGCACATGAAGGAGTAAAAGGCAATGAAAAGGCAGATAAATTAGCTAAAAGGGCTTTAGAGGGGGAAATAACGATTTCAATTCCTTTTGGAAAAGGGGAAGGGAAATCACTTATTAAAAGTAAAGAAATGGAGGAATGGCAAAAAATATGGAACGAAGATAGGAAAGGAAGAAGATTATATGAAGTGCAAAAGTCAGTTCGAATTCGAAACATTAATGAAAGAAACAGAAGAGAAGAAATAATAGTTAGTAGATTAAGAATAGGTCATACCTACTTAAATGACATGCTTTACTTAATAGGGAGGAAAAATAGTGAGAAATGTGAGAAATGTGGTGAAAAAGAAAATGTAGAACACATACTGATGAACTGTAAGTTATATGAACACGAAAGGGAAAAATTAAAGAGAATAGTTAGAAGTATAGGGCATGAATGGAATCTTAAAGGAATATTAGGAAATGAAGGAAACATAACAGATATTCATAAACTAAGGAAAGCATTGTTTATGTATCTTAAGAATACAAAATTAAAAAATAGAATCTAATAGATGTGAAGTAACGCTGCTACACACTCATGTACAGTAGGTGGCGGTATGCACCTTAAAGTTGCTTGTGATCCGCCATAATAGAAGAGAAGAAGAAGAAGAAGATCCTTCCATTTTGTTTCGCTAAGCTAACGCTAGCTTGTACCGTTTTGCGGCAGATATGGATGACGCTGACGAACCGGGATTAGTCCTGTCGCACAACACCTCTTCGGCCTCTAAGTCTGGTGGAGATAAGATGTTTTCCCTGAAGAAGTGGAACGCAGTAGCCATGTGGAGCTGGGATGTTGAGTGCGATACCTGCGCCATTTGTCGGGTACAAGTTATGGGTGAGTCGTTAGCTCAGCCCTGATATATGGCTAAAGAAGCTAGCAGTTTGTTTCAATTGTACAAACTGTCAAATTGTTTCCTTGGCGTTTTGCAGACGCGTGCCTTCGATGCCAGGCGGAGAATAAACAAGAGGACTGTGTCGGTAAGATGGTTCACACTAAAAACAGCCAAACGTTACGAAAAGCAACAGTTAGTCACACAAGCTAGCTCTGGCTAATCAGTGGGAGCTGTCAAAAAAACAACAGCAGCTAGCCTCACATAAACATATTCAATACCTCGCCCAAATAACGTTATATAGAAGCTATGTTAGGATAATTATCATTGATTATAATTATCTTTATTGCAGCATATTTTATAGCAGACACTGAGAAAGACATATTTAGCTATTTCTATTCAGTAATGAGGCAATGAAATATATGCTGTTATAAGGACTGAAACAATTAATTGGATTTATCGATTCTTGAAATAATCTTCAACTAATTTAGTAATCGGTTAACTGGAGTATGGAGACTGTACAACATGCCTTTAGCTGACAGAGGAACCCATTGAGAGCTGCAGTTATGTCAATTGTAACAGAAATGTGTAAACATTTTGCATTTAAGATAAAAAATGTAATTGTTCATCTGCCAATATGCCCCATCCAGAACTTCAAGTGGTTTTAGTTTCACCTGGTTTCACCTGGTTTTGCTATCTGATTAATAATCATTTAATCAAACAAATAATCAAGAGATTAGTTGATTTTCAAAAATAATCTTTAGTTGCAGCCCTAGTTTTTATCACTAGAGCCTCACCCTTTTCTGAAAACCTCTTAGTTTAATGTTTAAAAGAAACGTTTTCCACCATACAATAAATCTGTGATTTTAAAGAGACTACAAGCGCTGCCTGTAATTGTTTTGTTTCCATTTCTCTTATGTATAATATTAAAAAATACTATAAAGACTTGCCTTATTTCCCTGCCTGCTTTGTCAAAGCTGGTACTAAAAAAGCATGATGAGATCTGAGACAATTAAAGTGCAAAAATGTTGACATCTCTTTACAAGAAATATAATTATTTTATGCATATATATATATATATATATATATATATATATTGTATTTTGTAAAAAGATCTCTTCAGCTGGTCATTTTTATTGCCTCTCTTTCAGTTGTATGGGGGGAATGCAACCACTCCTTCCATAACTGCTGCATGTCACTCTGGGTGAAGCAGAACAACCGCTGCCCGCTCTGCCAACAGGACTGGGTGGTTCAGAGAATCGGCAAATAAGCACGGCGTCCAGGTGGACTGTGTACAAATGCACCAGATAATGGTGATGGACTTCTCAGTGTTCCCGGCAGCATTTCCTGAGCTGTCCTCTCCCTTGACGGTTGCATGTTTCCGTTATACCTGGTATCAGAATGAGGACAATGGACACAGTTTGAGCTGCGCAGATCGGCGGCTGAGGGGGATCACGTGTCGAGAAGAGACGAACAAAATGTGTTGGAGCGTCAAATGTTAGCTTACAGTTATGTGGTGTTTGGCGCATCTTGAAAATGTGAGTTTCTTTTTTAAAAGAAATGAAATGTGAATAATAGTGATTCAGACACTCTTGAAATAAAAGTCCCATTAATAAAGTGAAAGTGTGCCAAATATTTTTTTTTGCAGAATAAAGTTTTCCTGTATTTGTCAGATATATCAAATACAATTAAAAGCATCAAAAAGAGGTTTATCCTGACAATAAACGTTTCCCACTTCTCTAAACTCATTATAGACCAAAAAAAAGAAGTTTAATGGAGCACACATATGGCGTTTAACTGTTACTTCCGGATGTTAGGGCTTAGAATGAGCGTGCTCTACATGACTGTAACCTTGTTACCCATTATGCTGTGAGCGTAGGATTATGTGTAAGGTTGGCATTGCTCTAGTTTGGACCTATTGATTATATTAGAAAATCCAACATCTTCAAGAGTAGAGAAGCTCAGGATGAAACAGTTTGGTTTAATGTTCTCTTTCCTGGTAAAAAATACATTTAGTGAGGGGGAGATAATTGAATTAAACATGCAACTGGCTGGAAGGCTGCATCAACCTTGTTTAACCTGGAGGGAATGTGAAAAAAGAAGCAGCCTTAGTTTTTTTTTTTTTTTACCAAAATCTCCATTTGATTAAAAATCATTATCAATAAGGTTGACTGGCAGTCATTTTAATGCTGAATAGATACACCTATGAAGAATTTTTCATAAGGGATAGATAAAGGTACCTAATATATATCTACTTATATTTATTTGAATTGGGTGTTTTAATGCATGTAAAGCTGATTATTATTGCAGGATTATTATAACTGCACAGACATTTCTCTGAAAACTGCACCATCTATCAGAGTGGCAGTTCAGTCGATGCACACAACCACTTTGCATCTCCTAATAATAGACCGGTCTAAATCCTCTTAAGTTCAAACCACATAAGTTGCTTTCCCCATGTGCCGTCTTCACAAAAACGTGCAAAGCCGTGTGGGATAAGAAGCAGAGAATGATCAGGATGTTGGATCTTGATGGTCTCTCTGGTGCCTCAAACTCTCAGATGGGTGAATGTAAGTGTTCTTAGTTTTTTAACGCTGTATACCACAGGATACATCCACCCATGGATGACCTGGTGGGTGTGGACAGCTTGGTGGCCAACACAGCCTACCTAAGAGCCCTGGAGGTTGATCGGAACAAGCTGAGAATGCAGCGAGTGCCCCTGACGCTGCCCAAGCCAAAGAAGTCCACTGCTCCTCGGACAGCAGCCGAGAAGACATACGAGTCGCTCTGTGAGCAGCAGCCTATCGGGAGAAGGTTGTTTGAGCAGTTTCTCCTGACTTCTGACCCACAGTGTGTGGCTGCTGCTGAGTTCCTGAAGGAGCTGAGCCACTGGAGCTTTGCTGAGGACGGAAACAAAGACAAGACTAAACAGAGGATACTTTCAAAGTTCTGTCAGCCTCAGTCTCACACGTTCCTCTCCTACCTCACAGCAGAGGATGTGAAGATGATCATGGCTCTCGCAGGAAAAAACGATGAGGCAGCCATGGAGCAGATGAGAGATGCAACCAGAAATTACCTGAAAGGAAAACCTTTTTTGGAGTACCTGAAAAGCCCCTTCTTTTACCACTTTCTGCAGTGGAAGGAATGTGAGAGGCAGAAGATTACTGACAGATATTTTTTCGAGTTCAGGACTTTGGGCAGAGGTGGCTTTGGTGAGGTCAGTACTAAAGGTCTTATGAGAATAAATAAGATAATACATTGAACTACATTTACAAGGAAATTGCTAAAAACTTACCTTGAAGTAAACATGTAACTAAAATATAGGCTGGGATCAGGGCCTGAGCCAGATATGTGGAACCCCCCCCTGCCAAATAAATACTATGTGCCTGTCAGCATAGCACACGTGCTAAACATAATAAACTGTGTAGTGAGGGATTTCAGATTGCCTGCAGGGCTTTCACTCTTGGCCAATCAGAGCCTTTATTGGGGTCCCTATCAAAAAACTATTTTGTTTCTACCAATAATATTGCTGCAATCAATGTTTAGATGATCAGATCATTCATATGCTCACTATAAATCTACTAAAGCTCTTGCTGTTTACAGTCTCCCAATTGCATGCACCATCTAAGCCCAGGGTTCTGCAACTTTTGCAGTAAAAAGAGCCATTTTACCCTGAGCCCAGCTAAATAAAACTGGTACATATTGCATGAGCTTTAAATAAAAGTCAACTTATTATTTTTGTACAATATCTCCAATAGGAAGCTGGTTGCAACTTTCAACAACACATGGTTTATTTGCATCTTTAGTTTTTAAGCCTTTAACATCAAGTTAATTTTTGAGTCCTCCTCATCATCATCAGTGGGAAATGTTTGTTTTTTGAAAATCCTGATTTATATAACCAGACACAAGGTGAAAAAGAAAGAACAGAAAATTTATAAAAAAAAAAAAAACATTATATGGAAATGCCTAATGCATCACATATCATACGAATAATTTATTTTAATTTAAATATTTATTATTTAAATGTTTAATGACAACTCCAGTTTAAACATTTTTAATTTGTATTAAAATAATTTCACGGGTTTTACAGAGTTAAAGTAAGGACTGAACATAAAAGTTTTTCTTAAGAGAAATGATATATTTTCCTCTACACAATATTAATGTAAAAAATGAAAACATAGCATTCAAGCAAATGGCAAAACAAGTATAGATCTAACTACATATTCCCGGTTCTTTAATGTTGTTTTGTTTTGAAACTTAAATGTTGAAATTCATTAAAAAAAGAAAACAACTTAATCTTCTAAGAATAGTATTTGTTAATATAATGTAATGAAAAAAAACATAAATTAGATAATTTTAGCCATTATTATGAGCCAATAATAAAGGGTTATGTGGTTTACACTTTTTGGTTCATAATGCAAGAGCAATATACAAAACTAATCTGTAGTGCATGAATGACAAATTAAAAATGCTTTGATAAGTAAAATAATAAATCATACAAAAACAGACATAATCAAATCAAACATACAATGTTGATAATTTTCTCATATAAGGAGAATAAAAAGTTTCATGAAGCCAAAAAGAAAATGGAATGAAAATTAAAATAAAATAATTAGCCCTTACAGCTCTATTTGAAAAGATAGCCGTTCCCACACCCATGAGCTTTTACAATACAATGTTCCACTCCAGTTTTTTTTTGCAAAGTCACTGCTGAAATTGGGGCTGAAAAAATGAATCGGACTAATCAAGATTAACCGATTATTGAAATAATCATCAACTAATTTAGTAAGCGATTAATCATTAACTGGAGTATAGAGACTCTAAAACATGGCTTCAGCTGACAGAGCGACCCACTTAGAGCAGTCATTATATCAAAATAAAATAAAGAAAATTAATATTTTACATTTAAGATTTAAAAAAAAACTTTTCATCTGTCAATATGCTCAATCCAGAACTCCTCAAGTTGAAAAGTTTTAGTTTCACTAGGTTTAATTAAGTAAAAAAAACGGTTTTTCAAGGAACCTTTGGCTGTCCAATTATTAATAGATTTGCAAAAAAAAAAAAAAAAATTATATATATATATATATATATATATATATATATATATATATATATATATATTAATCTGAGTTTGGTAAAGCTCTGCTCTGCAGATGCATCAGTCACAGGGAGAGTTCAGGTCATCCTCAGATGTCGTTTTGAAAGAGTTGAGAGAATAAATGTGGTCACCTGTGCTTTAGGCTGTCTGGCAGGTTTTCCACCTTTAAAGGCAGAAAACTCAAATCATTATAACTGTTCTCCAAAGATTAGTTTGTCTCAGAGAAGTTTACACTGGTCTTTGCTTGTCTGTTTGTCATTCTGACACAAATTACAATAATCATATATATTTTAATTTGTAAGCAGAAGTGTCAAGCAACGCAGTACAAATACTTTGTTACTGTTCTTAATTACACTTTTTAGGCATCTATACTTTACTCCATTACTTTTTTACTACATCTAGTGAAAACTAGTGTGATTGGATGAGTCATATAACGCAAACACTCATTGGTTAGCTGAATGAAATCATCAGAAGCAAGCAGGTGTTCTTCAAACTGCAAACGTGCATTGTCTATGCCATGCTACAATGTCGGATTCAGAAAAAGATGTTAAAATGTCTGAAAGGTCGCACACAGGTGAGAGCGTATTGGGAGATGGAGAAGGAGACCAACAAGACCTCCCTCATCCTTGGCCTTATCTCAAAGATTTTTTTGAAACAGTGGAAAACCAATAATTGGATTCATCAGCTTTTATTTGAGTAAATTAAGAATACCACATGTATGCTTGACAGCATTAAGTTTAGCTTTTAAGCTTAAAACCAATGTTCAAGCATGGTAGCGGCAGCATCATGCTGCAGTGCTGTAGGAACATGTTAAAAATCATGTGGGGGGGGTTCACATGACTTTGAAACTTTACAAAGAAGCTTTACAAATAATAAAAAATGGTATACCCTATTGTTTTAAAAAACAAACAAAAATGTCTTTTTGTTGTACAATCACTTCACTCTTTAAAAACACTGTTTCAGATAACTAATTAAAAGTTCAAATTAATATATTTATAAACATTAAGCAATAAAAGCTCATGATGTATCTATGTGCATTAATAAAAACAAATTAGAAGTAATGATTGACAAGTCCTTGCGTCAAATTTAAATTCATGCAAGAAGTTTATTCTTTTGACTTTTTTTTACTAAGATCCCAAAACTTTCCCCGCTTTCTTCTTTAAGCTAACACAGCCTTCAGACGGTAATATTGAAAGGAGAAAATTAGCAGAGAGAAAAATTTCAGGATGCTCAAAAGATCAGTGGTACTACGGTAATAAAAATAAATACAATGAAATTAAATCAATTCTATGTTGTTCTGTCTGCCAGGTGTGTGCAGTACAGGTCAAACACACGGGTCAGATGTACGCCTGCAAGAAGCTGAATAAAAAGCGTCTGAAGAAGAAAGGAGGCGAGAGACTGGCCCTTCTGGAGAAGCAGATCCTGGAGAAGGTCAACAGCGCCTTCATTGTAAACCTGGCCTACGCCTACCAAAGCAAAAACCACCTGTGCCTGGTTATGAACTTGATGTCAGGGGGAGACCTCGGCTTTCACATCTACGAGTTGGGCAAGAGAGGCATCCGCATGGAGCGAGTTGTTTATTACGCAGCCCAGATTGTCACCGGCATCCTCCACCTGCACTCTATGGACATTGTGTACCGAGATTTAAAGCCTGAGAACGTGCTGCTGGATGGGAAGGGCCAGTGCCGACTGTCAGACCTGGGACTGGCTGTGGAGCTGCCCAAAGGAAAAATGATCTGCCAGAGGGTTAGTACCTACATGGTTTGTGTGGCTGTATCCTGCAAAGTAGCATCAGTGACCCATTCAGTAGATCGTCTTCAGACATGATGCATCCTCTTCCCTTCTTACCTTACCTCTTTTTGTTCAGTTGCCATTGCAAACCTCCAAGCTGGAGCAGAGACGATGTTACTCCTTCCAGTTGCAGCAGAGAGCATGACCCCGTGAAGTAATCTGATTAAAAGACGGCTGATCTAATGCTCAATCATGGCCCTCGCTGACTCAGAAATGTACAGCAGATCTGGTAGCATGTTGGCTTTGGCTGACTTATTCTTGCCCCACAAATACCAGATATAAAATATAGCTTTACATGCTTGTTCGTTAAAATGAATCTGACAATGAGTCTGTGTATGCACCTTGAAAATCTATCTCTCCGGTTCTTTTTCCTGAAAAGAGATCACTCGGAACAAACTCTTTAAATAAAACTTCATAACTTATATGTATTAAATAACCAGGAGACATGAAAACAGATTTTGATATAAATAAATTGTAATCTCACTCAAATCAGAGAAGTTGCTTAGAGTTTACAGAAGACAGCTGTTCTCCTCTAGGCTCACCTCTTAGCAAGTGGCTGCGATTAATAGATAAAAAGACATTTTACACATCTCCTATATGCCTCATCATCACATCATTCTCGTTAGCAGATGAGTAGACATCCTTGGCTCCAACCTTATCAAAATATTACACTTTGTTCTTAGCTGAAGGACACCCCGCTCTCATTCCATTTCCAAATTTTTGCCACGTACAGAATGAAGATTATAACTGTAAATTCAGACAGAGGAACTGTCTTAATTAGATAAACTATTGTGGAAAACATCAGTTCTGAAACACAACAGGCCGCTAATATTAAGGTGTTATAAACTCACACATCACCGATGATAAATATCCTAACAAATGTTTTGAATTTGACTGATTTGAGATCCACATCTGCATAGGAGGCAAATTAATATACAACCCTGCTGTATAGCCTCAACTGCTTAAGACAGATTTTGACCATAACATTTTGGGCTTCGATCTTAACATTTCACACAAGAAGAAATCTATAAATAAGATTAGTTGAAACTGGAGCAGGTATGGAAAACCAGAACTGCCACATATCCAACAAATTAAATATGGACAAGATTTCTTATTGTAAATGCAATGCATGCTTTAAATACATAAATAATAGATAATATATATTTTTTTCATTTATTAATTTAACTATTAAATACATATTCTTGCTTCCGTCGGAGATTACTTTAAAATGTAACATTTTAAGCATGACTTCATTCAAAGATTGATCAATCAAGACGTTGAGCTGAAGTAACTTATTCTAATCCCTTTTAGTTTTGGACCTTTTGACATTATTTCTGGTTTAAGAATGGTTTAACACAAGGTATGCATATCCATGGATGTCCATGTAACCATGTCCTGCATACATGTTTGTTTTGCATCTCTTGAAACACTGATAATCTCCCCCAAATTGCGACTCATCTCTTCCAAACTTTTTCCTTCTAATAATTTTCTAAAGTTCTGCTCTAATTTTCTGTTGTTTTTTTAAATAAACAATTAGCCATTTAAACCAAAAGCTTCCTTTATATTTATAAACCTCTCATCCTCTTTTTTTTCTTTTCCCTCCATCAGCCTTCACTGATTATTTCCTTCCATTTCGCCGCTTGTGTTGCAGGCTGGTACGACTGGCTACATGGCTCCAGAGGTTCTGAAGCAGGAGTACTACCGCACATCTGTGGACTGGTGGGCTCTGGGTTGCAGCATTTATGAGATGGTGGCTGGTCGTTTGCCTTTTAAAGACTTCAGGGAGAAGGTGCAGAGCAGCGAGGTGACTCGTCGCACTCTGGAGGATGACTGCAAGTTTGAAGACAAGCGCTTCGAGGGTCCAACCAAAGATATAATCAACCACCTCCTCAAGAAGAAGGTTCTGTTCCGCCTTGGTTGCCGGTAAGAGTATGCGGACTCAGTAGTCCAACAAAAAATGAGGTAAAATGTAAAGAAACACATGGAATTTCATGCTGCGGAGTCCGCTAATGTTTAACGTTGATTCTCAGACATTTTATCCAAACAGCCTCTGAATTCATGTTGAGGGTCCTGCAGCAGCAACGCATTCCCACACCATGACACCTCCTGCTCTTTGCTTTACAGCTTAATGAGGTTCATTTCTTTAGTGGCTGCATTTTTTATTTTATTTTAACAGGAAACAAAGCTGCTGTTTTCCCTTTACACATCTATCTTTCTAAAGAACAGTATCCTAAAAGTTGTGCTATTTGTCTATATTCTCTCTGCCTTTCTTAGAAAGCAAATGTTCCCTTCTTCCATACCTACCCTGAAAGTTCAACTCATGCAATCTCTTTCTGAGTCAAGCACTCAGCAGTAGTAAGAACATGCTGTATTGCGATTATGCATTAAGCATTTTGAGATCTACTTTTAGAATCAACTTGTTTACAGACCCAGATCTAATTATTATCTAACTCATTTCAAGTCGGAATTGATATCGGGTGTCCTAATTTTTTCTCTAAAGAAATTCAAGTTTATAAATTCTTTTTCCTTTCTTTAATGTTAATTTGTTCATTTTTTTATATCTACTGTATGCATCATTTGATGTTTTTTTTTATTTTCTCAAAATTCTCTACTTTAAATGTTCCAAAAACAAATATTCTATTCACCGGACATTTTTGACCCGCAGCTTTTGTATCTATTGTGGTTTTTCTCCATTCCACACAAAATAAACAACATGAATAATATCCTAAATCTTTCAAATACCTTAACCCTTTATTGCCAAAGTTACAATTTTTGGGAACTTCGATATAAACACCTCTTTGCAGCAAACAAGGCAAAATTATGAGGTCAGCTGTGATTCGCAAGGTCTGCTAGATCCTGTCACTCTGTCTTAAAGCTGAGTGTAACTGCTTTATAAAATACCGGCAGTAATCTAATGTCGTCAATTGTAAGTGATATGTTACTACGTTAAAAGTTAAGTTAAAAACTAAAGAAGCCAAAAAAAAAAGAAAAAAAAAGCTTATTAAAAACGTGAATTAGCCCTGTTAAAAAGTGATTTCACATCTTTAGATAGATAAGCACTCTCAGCAGAAACAGTAAAAGTCATTTAAAGTATTGATAACTATAAAACTGACTGTAAATGTAACCAAAATCTGCTTCTTTTGTTTCCGAGAATCGAGGCAACATGTGCTTTAAAAATGTTTTTTTTTTATCAACAAATTTTTTCCATCCATCCTGTGTACTGGTGAAGATTCTTAGTCATCCAGGTCATAGTTATTCCAAAAACCTTTAGCTCTGACAACATGGCTTTCTCTCTCCTTTGATTGTAAAACTTTACTGAACTACAACTAATACAGTCACATCTATGATACCTTAGTGAAGTGATCCAATCAGATTAGTGCTGATAGACTGAATATTTCACCTTCTACATTGTGTTTAAATTTGCAGATGGACTAACAAACTAGAGAGGTTATTGGGAGCTAAAAGGGACTTTGCTGTTTGCATTTTGATGTGACGAATGGGGCTGTTGGAGCTCAGATGGTGGAAGGGGGACCAACAATGGCGTTGCTGCAACATTTCCCCAGAAGGCATTTGGCTTACCCAGGAGGGCAGCTGCAAAACTTAGCTTTGCTAAGTAGGTGTTGGTTTTAAAGCAGGGACTGATTTTTTGGGGTCAACAACCTGTCAGTCAATGACAGAGGGAAATTTTTTCACTGTGTACCATCCAATGGCTTCTCGTTTATGATCGATTTAAACTGTGGAGCTTCCAGTTATGCTGTTAAAAGAACAAAACTCATTTTTCTAAGAGTGACAGTTTGGGGCTGATGGAGAGATCTCACAATGCAGGTTTTTAAGACTAATACTGATTATTTTGACATCTATTTAAGCAAATCTAAACATTTTTGCCCCTCATTTACATGACATAAAATAGACAATGATAATAAATGTAACACGGAACTCCATTTAATCAAAGAGAGACATTTATTAACAATCAAACAAAGCATTTACAATGGAACTGGAACTGTAACAACTCAAAATATCTGGCAGCTGATGTATTGGTCTAACTGAAGTCTATTTTGTCTTTTTTTCTTCTTTTTTTTTTGACAGGGACGGTGTACATTAAAAAGCATTCCTGCAAACGCACCAGAATTAGCCAAAAGGCTAATTTTCATCTGTTGTCCCTGGACAGATCTTAAAATTGTCTAAAAAATTGTCTAAAAAGAAAACAACAGTAAGCATTCTACAATGACAAATATAAAAAGAAATAAAAACAGCTATAACTCTTCAAAATTGATTTCAAACTACAGAATAAGGGTTTGCTGGACTATAGATTTTAAGTTAATAAAATAGAATAAAACATTTAAACAATATATATATATATATATATATATATATATATATATATATATATATATATATATATATATATATATATATATATATATATACATGTACACATACAAATATACAACAGAGACACAAGTGGCAGCATGGCTTGTTAATAATAGACATTCAACTAATGCTGACATGACTGATGTGTTATGAGCCAGTTTTTTTAGATGCTCTTTGAAAATAGTGTATGTTGTAAGTTCTCTGATTTTCTTAGGGACAGAGTTCCGTTCCTGAGATGCTGTGACTGCATCTCAGTTTTAGACCTAAATGGAAACTTGTAGTCCAGAATTTCGGAGAAATAAACATGAAGCTTGATTTGTGGTAGAAAAACTAACCAATTTAAACAGACCTACCAATTCTGGAAGGAAGAAAGGTCAAAGGTCCAGCTAGAATTATGCCTGACACTCATGATTAGGGTGGGTAGAGTGCAACTTGCAATGGGACATCAGGTTGTTATTAATATTATGTATTGTTGACTATGCTTTTCGTACAGTGACATTTGAAATTAAATGCTTACATCCTTTTTTTTTAATATAGGTTTCTTGCTTTATGATCCCTTAACAACAGAAACAGGAATAACTTTTACTTACCCCAAATGTTTAGCATTCATGTACATAATGTGTTATATTAATGTTTTGTTTAAGTTAAGCTGGGCACCCAAAACCCATGTATTTCAAGTTAGATCAATGATACCACTGAAGAGAGCTAAAAGTCATGAATGTGTGTGTTTGTTTTTTTAACAGTAAAGATGACGACCCAAGGACTCACACGTTCTTCAAGAGTATCAATTTCAACCGTTTGGAAGCGGGGCTGGTGGAGCCCCCCTGGGTGCCAAAACCTGATGTGGTTTACTCCAAAGACACTGAAGACTTTAGGGACAACTCTGAGATCAAGGATGTCAAGCTTGATGCCAAGGATGAGAAATTCTTCAAAGAGTTTAGCACAGGCGCAGTCTCAGTCTGCTGGCAGAGGGAAATGATTGACAGCGGAGTATTTGATGAAGTGAATAAGCCTGAATTGAATGGACGTGGCCTTGAGAATGTGTGGACATCCAGGATGTGCATCATTTTGTGAGATTCTGCTCACCTGACCAGCATGTGTGACTTATTTATTGGAAAAAAATATGAAGTGGAATTTTTTAATAGTTTAAGTGCAATGTGCTAAATGAAGCTGCTCAATATTACGTCAGGCACTTGCCTTTATTCTAAAGATCATGGGATTCCTTTTCCATAGTATTCCTAGAAAGTTATTTGTAACAAAATGTCAGGGAATAATGCTGTCAGAACCAAGAATAATGTAACCTTCGCAAAAGTTTAGTAGAAAGAAAATGGCATTTAAGTATGTGTAGGGATCAGCTGCCTCATGCTTAGCCCTTTATTCCTGGTTAGAAAGTCTGTCCCAGTAGAATCATTGTTTCCATTACATCATGCACCCATTGCAGCAGGCAATTGTTTGCATCTGTTTGTAAACAAGCTGTTGTGGGTACCTTACAAATTTATGTGTTATTGTTGGTATTAGCAGGTAAATCTTATGATTCTCATGATCAGTAATGTGCCAAATACTAGAGGAGCCTTTTGGCAGCGATAAGGCAAAGCCTGATTTAATATAATCTATGTAAATCCTCTCACTGGCTGAGATTCACCACTAAGTGCCGCCAAACACCAACAAAGTGCAAGAGGCCTCCTGATCACTTCTTTGTAACCCCATTACTTTGACTGTGTTGTTCTGGTATTTACCAGGATTTTGTAATTTTATACAAAAAAATCCAGATAATAATAAAAAATACAAATAAATTATTCACACACTTGGTCCCCCCATAGGCTATGTTAGTGGAGTTATAATTTTAGCATCAGCTAACCATTTAAAGTGTTACACATGTTTAGAAATAGTTTTAGCTGCCATTACAAACCGATAGCTAAAAATATCTTCTACTTAATTTATGTATATTTTTTACAATAAGATTTATATATAAAAAGCATCATCATCGTTGTTTTCTAGCTGGAAATGTAAAATAATCCTGTCTTAGAAGTGGAATAAGACTTTTCACCTTTAAAGTCGTAGGGAAGTCATATTTAAATTTCAAATCAATCTGGCTTAAACATGTATATAAATGTACTCTTTATCAGACCATATTGTCCCAAAAGTGAGAAAATTTCTATTTAAAAAAGAATTCTGTCTTAAAATCAGTTTTCTTTTTTCGTTATTATATGCAGACCGGTTAGTTATATGTCAGCTTGTAAGCCTAAATTCGGCCAATCATATATCAACGGTCATCTGTCAATTAAATTTTTCGGTCATAGCATCATGATTCACATGTCGCAGCTAATATACGCAACGGTTGGAATAAGAAAAATGTATGAGTTCCGTCCCAGTGTTCACAGGGATGGACGTAGAACTAACAGAACTGGCAGCATTGCGAGGCAAGGGCTCAAACGTGTACAGCTGTAAGCCTTCTACACCAATCGAAGCTTCTGCTGCCCTGGCGTCCTCTTCCATAACAACTTCATCCCCGCTTTCCTCCTCTAAATAAAAAATGTATGACAGAGGAGACTCATCCACAACCTCTGACACAAAACTCTCCTCCTCTTGCATGTTTCCACTGTCCATAGCGTTCCTTGACAGTGACGTTGCGAAATGTTACTTGGTCCCAATGTAATTTCCCATTGGTTACCTACAAGCACTAAGTTGCTAACTGGTTAGCAAGATGCTTCCGAGACACCGGCCACAACCAAACTTGCTTGCGAACCTTTCACCACAACAATCCCGCCCCCTTCATAATCGATCAATCACATTCACTTTGTTCACTCGTGTAAAATCGGGCACGGCTCGGGAGAACTCGGAACTATAATCGTTGGAAAAGCCGCTTCCCAACGACTTTAAGCTGGTGAAGATTCTCAGTCATTCAGGTGATAGTCATTAAAAAAATTACGAAAAAAACAACAACAATCCACTGGGCTTTGTTTACAAGTTTTAAACTTTTTGGAATTTCACCTTTAATTTATTTCTACCAATCATCACAGTTAGGTCAAAATGCGAATGTGCCACCAGCATATTTATAAAGTTTCAGCTGCTAGATGCTAGCTTCTGACTTTTGGCCAAAGGTGTAACTGCACTAACTAATAACTTTTGTGCCAGTAATCTTAGTTGTTAGGTTTTTTTAAATGAAATGTTTATATTTTCACCTAAAGTTTAAGATGTAAGCTAAAATATCAATTGCTCAAGTCTTGAACTTGTGCTCTATGCATTTATATAAATGGCTGCACACATTAGCTAGCAACTACAAGGACCTCAGTTAAAACAGGTCGCTAGCTTTACTTTCTATTCAAGCACTGTCCAACCAGTGAGATTAGAGAAGGAACATTGATCATCCATGAAATTGATGTCAATAGAAAATAAGAGAAGTAAGAACAATTAGTTTTAAAACAAAGATATGAGTTTCCTTTTTGTTGGCTTTTGTAACATGCTGGTACAATGATGTCCTAAAATATTATATTCTGTCTGACTAGCTTTTATATTTGAAAAATTTAAATTGGGATGGAGTAGAGTACAACAATGATCGGATAGAGGGAACGTCAAGTTTTGGGGGATAAACCCTATTTCCTTTGGCCCAGAATATGAATAATCCAGTAGGCATTTTGGAAGAGGATATTGATTTTCTACTACAAAACCCAATTTCTTATTGGCATTTTTCAAAGAAGTTTCCATGCATCACCAAATTCTGATGGTATTGCCTCAGTTAGTTATATGATAGGCTACTACGCTTGGGCAGCTCTAAAAAGAGGCCATTACAACCATTGGAACCGGGCCTGACCCCGTTGGCCACTCTACTGTAGTTATAATACCAAATCAGTTTTTTTATTCCTATGTTGGCACAGGAACTGAAACTAATTAATCCCTTCGACCAATGTAATTTTTCTAAATGTGTTTTTTTTTATATGTAAATGTTTAAGAAATTAAGATGTTGCACCTTTGAGATATTGAGATATGATCAAAGTCTTCATCTCCATGGTTTCCAGAGCCATGAGTGGCTTTTTGACTCTCTTGATTTATTAAATGATGAACTTTTGCCCTGTTCTTTTCGTTATTCTTTTTCTCTGTGCCCCCATGAAAAAAAAAACCCTGGCCCCACCCATTCACCACTAATAAAATTGGGCTAGAACTGCCTCTTCCACTACGGCTGTCATAATAGTTCAATATACATTAAGCACTTTAAAAAGGGAGTAAATGTGTACTAAATACTCGGCTCGATCACTTGCTAAAACAAATCTCTCTTATTCTGTTGTTTCTAGTAACATGCATTCTACTAGTAAATGTCTATTTGAGTTATGCTGGCAAAGATTCTCAGTCATCCAGGTCATAGTCATTCCAAAAAAAGGTTAAAAAACAATCCACTGGATTTTGTTTTCAAGTTTGAAGCCATTTCGCTTCCCATCCAGGAAGCTTTTCAATTCAAAATGTCAAAAATAGTGTTGAGTTTGAAGCTTTATACAGAACCCAACAAAGCCTTTAGAAAACATGAAAATTGAAACGGACCAACAGCATGCCTGTTGCAGGTATGCCCCATACAGGTATGGGGCATTTCAGGCTAACAAAAGGAGGGGCGGACCCTTTCGTCCGTTTTATATGCATGTTTTTTAAACCCTGTACTCATTGAAACCTTTTTGAAAAAGAGGCACATGATAAAAATTATAATTTTTTTCTTTGTTTACACTTTACAAAGCACCATTTCAGTAGAATCCACCATCTATATATAATTTCTATCATTAAATTCAGCAGGTTCTTTTTTACCCCAGATGGTGCGACATACCAAAACCCTGAAACCCGGTGATACCGACAGACTGCAAGAGGTGAGTTACAGATTCTGGGAACACACATTAGGCATAGAAGGAATTGGATAGAGTCCAAACTTGTTCCTGGACCAACTGTCAGTCATATTACATTGCTAACAAAGAATGCAATAAGTGCAACCTAATTAAATCTAACTGATTTAGCTTTAAGAAAGCGATACCGGCTTACAGCTAATATTTCTGCTTTTGTTTCACCATCATCCAAGACTCGGGATAGCTTTTAGTTTTGTAGTTACCGTTAAGTACTTCTTTCTCTCAAACACGCTAACCAAGTTATTCTTATTTGGACATCAGACTGAATTTCATCTGGCATGCAGACCTTAACACTAACCTCCATGTAAAATGAGCAGAGGGCACACTTAAACACAATGCTTGACACGAAGAAAGATACCTTCTGCTTAAATGGCTGTTGTCTCTATAAAACCACAAGTCCCCACAGTGAAGTGTGTCATTTTGTAGGGATGCACAATATTAACGGCATCATGTTATTAGCAGCTACCAATATAAGCTTTAAAACTTAATATTGGACATTGGAAATTCCATCAATATAACTCGCTGATATAAAAGGCCCCTGTTTTTATTTTTTTTTTAACAAACAAGGGACGATAATGCCTGCAGCACCATCAGGCCACATGCACCCAACTAATGCATGAATCTGACACATGAGAAATGCTGATGTAAAAATGTTAGTGATTTGGATGTTGTTTAACATTTCAGAAACAGCTAGCCAAGCTGCTATTTGGAATGACTGCACAAGACAGGAGTTTTAAAACATTGGTGTACAGGATATCCTCTCTATGCTTCTTATAGAAGATATCCTGTACACCATATGCTTCTTTCTCCTTGAACTCCAGTTGTCCTCGGCAGATGGCCGCTCACACTGAGCCTAGTTCTGCTGGAGGTTTCTTCCTGTTAAAAGGGAGTTTTTTCTGTCCACTGTTACTACAAGCATGCTTAGTGTGAGGGATTGTATTCGAGCCAATGAGTCGATGCAATCAACTGGTTTTCATTAGATAGAAATTTTGAATCAATTGACTGTATGATCTGGTGAACTGTAAAGTGCCTTGAGATGACATGTGCTGTGAATTGGCGCTATATAAATTAACTGAATTGAATTGAATTATGAACACGTGAGTCACTAACATGGTTTTACAGTTCAGTCCATGTTCAGAGAATGAGGATGATTCCAGCGGGTCAGCTCACAAGACAGAGCAGATGCTGCCAGAGAGTTCCAGACGTGGAAGCCTAGAAGGGTGCATAACTGACAGGAGATAAGGTCCGAGCTGACGAAGGAAGGCAAGATGATCAACAGGGCAAAGTCAAGAAGCACATTCAGGCTCAGTCCACTGAAGAATCCAACAGGAGTCTGAAGACAGGCCAGGCAAACAGATCAGACAGGGGCAGGCAAGCTCAAAAGTCCAAACACAGAATCAGGTCAGGATCAGGCAAACAGAACACTATTAGTAATGCTTGAAAACTCTTTAAACCACTAGCTCAAGAATTATCTGGCACTGATGGCTGGGACCAAGGAGTTTAAATAGAAGCAGGAGCAGGTGGGTCAGACAGGTGAATGAAATGACCAATCAGGCCAGCCATCAGCGCCATAGTTAAAATACAGATATCATGCATCTCTATATATTGCCTTGTTAAATCAAGGAATCAATGAATTTGTGTCAACTATAAAAATCAAGATTTAAAGTCTATATTATCTACTCATAATGCAGACAAACACAGTAATAAGAATATGAGTTGGAAAGAATTTTCTTACTGTTTAAAAAAAAAAAAAAAAGAAATTACCTATGGTAAATTTTTAGTCATACAAACCATTCAAACAAAGGGGTCTTCAGGGTTTTAAAATATACTTCCCATTTAAAAATATAAACATAAATAAATAATAAACAAAAGGTTTCACAACCCCCCTGCAGTACCTTGTCAGTATAGTAGAAAGTCCACATTAAAGGCCTCTAATGTAAACTGTCAAAAAAAAAAAATAACATGCACACATTGAAACTCTGATTTGCAGATCCAAATGAAACGTTGGACCCTGATATCACACCCAAAGCTTTTCAAGACCATCTGCTTTCCAAAATATCCCTTCTTCCCAATGAGCCGCAGACGTAGAAACTGACATCAAGTCAAACGGACTGAGCCGTTCAAACAAGCGCTGATGCCAAAACGATTTTGTTGTGTGGCCCCCGGAGATGGCATATGTCATCACAGCTGCTGTCCTCTTTCCCTGAACACTAGATTTGATATTCTGTTCCTTGTATTTATT